CCTGCTACCCTGTGTGATTATCAGTCTGCAGTGAAAAAATGATCAAAGTTGATGTTGTATTTTGTTAAGCTCCAGCATGCTTGGGTTTCTTTTTTTGTAACTACAATCTCCTCAGCAAAATGTGATGTTTCTGTTTTAATCCTTCAAACTAAGATAGTGCCCAGAAATGTTCTGCATGTTTCCTGCTGTTTTCTTCACACCCTCGTATATATCACCTTCACCTCTCTGTTTTCTATAGTTTGTGCAAAAACTGAGCAATTTAATGGGTTTCAAAGGTATCCTTTAAATTGGTGTTTTTGGTAATGACAATTATATGATCAGAAGCCACCTGAGGGCATCTACCTGTGCACTTAGACTGTCTGCCTGACAGAGCACCTGGACCTTGCTCCATCTCCAGTGCTGTCAGAGGCACCCAGGGGGCTTGGCTGTACTGTTCCTGTACCGGAAGTTTTGGTGGAAGGAGATAGCTGGGGAGCAGGAAGGTGGGGGAACTTCACAGTGTTTCTGTTCCCAAAGTTATCTGAAGCTAGGGCTCCTTTGAAACAGCTTTTGTAGCATTCAGGGCACATTAGTGTCACATCCAGCCCCAGTTTAATACCATCAGTCAGACCTTGATGGCAGGATCCTGGAAAGGAGGATCTGGGTTAGCTCTTGAAATAAAGTGATGGAAATACCCCAGAGAAAGCACTTGTAAACCTGGTCCCACAACTGCTGGCTCTTTTCCCAAGCGACAAGCACAATACAACAGCCTCTGCAGCTGTTACCTGAACAGGGTACCATCCCCAGCTCTCTTCTCAAGGGCCTTAGCTGGGGAATCTCTCCGGAGATTTTTTACTTTTTGTTTAGTTTTTAATTGGGTAATGAGCTAAGCAGTTTTTGTTTCTGGCTCGCAGAATGAACTAGAACAGGTTACTGCTTTCTGGGTAGCAGGCTTTCCCCCCACCCTACGTACCCATCTGCACAGGTAGAAACTGGGATGTAGCTTCTAGACGAAGAGCGTGTACTGTGATGAAGTTTCAGTCAGAAGGAGAAGCAAGCTTGTGTAGGTATCTTTAACAGTAGAAAATAATGTGAAATGAAATCCCAGGAGAAAGGGTTTTGTTGAGAAAATAAATCGTGTTTGATTGGATGGAAATCTCACTTTTGTCCAGTGTTTGGGAGAATGCAAAGATGCAAAAGGGTTTCTTTTCTGTCCTACTCAGTTGGCTGAGGATATCCTCAGTAGATGCTGGCTAGAGTTGCAGAGACAGTCCTTAATCTGCTTATAGGAAAGACCACGTTTGGATATGGTAAATACACCTGGGAGTAAAGCATGAGGCTGGATGATAAAAGGATAGAGCCTTGTTTATTTGGGAGGTAGGGTTGTGGGCTGGCTGCTGTTAGTCCCACAGTCTGAATGCACAGGGCTGTGTGTCAGTGGGGGGCACTGGTACCCTGCAGTGTATTGAGTAACTGCCAATACGTTTCTGTACGTGAGCATTTGGTTCCATCAGGAACTTTGGAGAAACCTGTGGAAAAACTATCCGAAGAAAACCAAAATGCCAAACGTTGGATGTTTCTTTCCTTTCTTCTTTCCTTTTCTTCCTTTGGTTGTTTTAATTGTTCTGTGGTGGTTTTAATGGATTTGAGACAGTGGAGCAGCAGCTGCCTTTCTGATTTTTGGCTGCTTTTTGTGAATAATTTAAAAAGAAAATTTACATTTTGGAGACAAACCTGTGGGCTTTTTTATTGGTACAAACATTGTATTTAACACTAGGGGTTTTGTACAGTTTTTTGCCTTTTCTACTAGAAAACAATGTAAAGTGATTCACAATGTGACGAGAAAACAAATTGCCACTATGACCAAATGTAGAGTCTGTTCTGCAGTAATGGGATTTAATCAACTCGAAGTCGTGGTTCAGTCGTAGAAATGCTTTTCTTTACCTTGTTTTGAGCTGTTCCTTTCTTTTTTTTTTTTCTTGTTTTGATTTGCAAAACAAAAAATGTCTTTTTTTTGTGTGAAATTGTGTTGTACTCTGTAGAGAATTACAGATTTTACTTTAATGGTTTAAAACGCAGAGGAGCACGCGTTGCTTTTCTGATCTGATGGCAGAGTTCGTGTAGTGGATTTCAAGATGAAAAGATTTGTTACAAGTTTGGAACGAGCGAGTATGTGTTAAAGGAATTTTCTTCCTTTTGTGTGTGTGTGTTTTCTTTTTTTTTCCTTTTAGTTTTTGTCCCAAAGGGCAACTTAAAGCTGTTTTAATTGCACAGACACACCGACAACAAGTCATTTTGTATATGCCAAGTGTGGTACCTTCCTTTGTTTATTTGCTATTAAACTGTTTGAGAAGAGTCCTTGTGTGTTGTATTTGTGTCTCAAACTTGAGGTTCTTTCTGGGTGGGAAGATGAGGAGAGATGAGGGAATCTTCCATTTACTTAGCTGTGAGCTTCATGGTCCAGTACCACTTGTTCTGGATGTACAGTATAGCCCTGGATGTAGAGGAGCTGCTTTGGGTAGAAATGGGAAAGGTTTTGGGGTTGTATAGCCTCCATTTTGTAAGATTTGGCACTGTGTAGCCACTTGCCTGGCCACGCACTGTGCTTCATGGTCTTTCAGGGGCTAAATAACTTCAGTGTGACCCAGACTTCAGCTATATAGCAACAGCACATGTGCGTGGTGGTGTGTGGGATTAGACAGGCACCAGCTCATACTGCTCCTATGAGCCCCATACCTGCCACTGCCTCCTTACCCCTGCAGAACACTTCCAAGCTTGCTGAACCTGTCCTGGTTCTGCCTCAGTACTCCCAGTCCTGGAAATACTATACAGGGAAACCAATAGGTTGGGATTATTTCCTAGCTCAGGTTTTGTGATAAGGAGAAGTTTACCCGCTTTGCTTTTAGAACTATGATATGTTAATCATGTGAAATGAATACTAAACAAGTATTTGGTGTAGGCAAAGTATAATCCGTTTAGAAACTTGCCATGAGTTTGACATGAATATTGCCTCTCTCAGAAGGAAAGTACCACAATGGCCATGACTTTGACACATTTCTGAAAGCCCAAATTCAGTGACGTTCCTCTTTCCTTCTCCTGTCTTGCATCTTGGAGACTGCAAGCGCTTTCAGGGCAGCTACGTTTCTCCTCTGTGTCCTTTTCCTGTGTTATCTGGCATACTCGGTTCCACCCCATTACTTCCTACACGACTGTAAATCTGAGAGCACTTGCAAGCATCGGGATTCAGCGCTGCATTCCTGTCCCTGCAGCGCACCAATTGCGATGTGAGGCACTAAGCCATCTGTTGCAGAGTGTGCTGGGATCCCTGCGGTTAATTTGCAGCTGTTGAGAAGGGAGGCTGGGGAGATTTCAGCTCAGATACGTCTGAGCTGAAGGATGGAGACAAACAACTGAGTCAGAAAAAAGGGGTTGTTTAGGCAGGATGGAAGATTCTTGCTTATGCAAGAAGTTGGCAAGACTTCCCTTACATGAAGCTCTGTCAGTTGTATCTTACAGAGCTGACACTAGAGCCCTGGGGGTAGATGTGTCAAGAGCCAGTGTGTTTATCTCTGATAAGAATCTGCGTTTCACATGAGTTGTTATTTTTGTCAACATCAGTAGGAAAGACACAAACCTGCAGATTAAGTCCTGATGTTGAATATTTTAGAAGTAGTTTCTCCTCTCACATCCACCTCCACCTTTCACTACTTGTTTTGACTCCAATCTTCCTGACTTTACCAGCCATGTTCTGCTGTCTTCATATGGCCAGGAGTCACCAGGATACGTTATGAAGACCAATGGGGAGGAGGACAAGCAGCTCAGTGTGGTCACTCTGAAGAAGTGACTGTGTGATTAGCTACACTGCGTGTATAGCTCCACTGCATGACAGGTGAGATTCCCTAACTTGGAGTTTCCATGCACCTTCCAGGCTTACTTGTTTGCAGTTCCTGAGAAGAAACTGGACCATCCATTTACAGTAGAAGCTGTACCTCAGTCTTGCACAAACTAGAGCCACAGACTGATGATCACTCTGCCATTACTCTCTCGAAGCAGCACAGGTAGTCAGTGTCTTGGTGATTCTACCCATTTACCCCTCCTTATTTAGGCAGCTGCACTGGGCTTGGGGTGAGATGTTCCATATCAAGAATATATTTCTGGTTTCTGAAAATGACCAGTATGAGCTTGATGGAGCTCAATCTTACTTTACTAGGATAAGTTTTTATCTCACTAAGCGAGTTGTGAGTTGATTCTTAAGACACTAAGCATTGTTTCATAGGAGAACTCAAAAACAAGAACAGTGTGATCAACAAAATGCAGGATAGATGGATCATTCCCCTCCTGTTACATGGGGTTTGTCAGACTGCAAGGCATCCTTTTCTCACTTTGCCTTTTTCTCTGTGCAATCTGACAGTGAATACTGAGGGGAGAAGTGCTTTGGTGAAGTGGTCCGAAAGCATCAGGATGAGTTTGAGGTACAGGCAGGTCACTTGTGGAAGGTCAATTTAGAAAGTCGTCTGTTCTGCAGACATCATGTCATTTCTGGTTTTCCCTTCCTTGAGTCCTGGCTTGATCCTTTTATGTAGCAGACTCCAATGTTTGCTGTGCCTGGCCTCTTCTCCAGTCCTGAAATGTGATGGCCTCACCATTTTCAGTGCATTCCATGTGGCTCAGTCTTCTGCATCTTGTGTCCATCCCACCACCCTCCTCCAGAGAGACACATAAGAATTACTGCAGGGAGCAGAGACTTAAAATTCTGAACTGGACCTTTATGGAAGCCCTAGAACCTATAAAGTACCTTGATAATAACTTAAACAGTGCTGCAGAAGTGATTTTGCACAGTGACCAGCTGTCCCTCAGCACTCTTGTGGTGTTTTCCCACAGTTCCTACTTCCAGAGTCTGAGAGTACACGGAGTCTGTACTGGAACATCATCTGGCACATCAAGGCTCTGAAGAAACAATGCTAAACTTAGTAATGCAAATGTCATGGAGTATATAAACTCCCAAAAGAGAATCAGTCTTGACTGGAGCAAGACTTTACTATTTAAATTGCTTTGCTTCTAAAACTTTTTCTAAGGATGTTTTGGATACAGGTATGGATGGAATCTCTTAAGATCCTTAAGATCATGAGGATGATGTAAATCCTTTGGGCAGACTGGTTTCTTACTCTTGCGTGTCCTGCTCCCCTTAGGGACATTACCTCAGGAAGGCTCCCTTGGGTTTGTGTTTCCTTAGGTAGCCATGATGTGGTGGCCTGTGGGATGATGCTGTTGGTATTTACCTTTGCTTGTGGAAAAACCACCACTAAATTCACATAGAAGCAGGGAGGCAGCTGGAGACATCCCTGCATGTGCGTCTGTCATTAAAACCCTGATTTGCCATTTCTTCTCTTTGGCCTGTAAAACGATCCCAAAACACGTGTGGGACTTCTGTATCTGAAAAACACAAGACTTCCCTGAGGCATCCCCCTCCCTGCCCTTCAAGTTTGGCTTCTCTTCTTAGGAAGGACAGAGTAAATCTATAGATAACCAAGACCAGGCCCATAACAAATACAGCACATCAATGGCTGTATGAAACTGGACTCCTAGAGGAGCCAGTCTACCTGGGTTTTTTTTACTCTTTCAAAGGTGTGTAGGAGAGTTAAAACTATCTCTAATTGGGCAAACAATTCTCATATACAATCAGAAGGTGCAGAAATCTGTTGCTTTGGGTCATTAGAGTCATTTTGGTCATTAGACTCATGAGAGTCCAGAAGGCCACAAAGTTTCCCTGAGGGCTGGAGCACCTCTCCTATGGAGACAGGCTGAGAGCTGGGGTGGTCAGCCTGGAGAAGGCTTTAGGGAGACCTTACAGAGGTTCCCAGTGCCTAAAGGGACTACAAGAAATCTGGAGAGGGGCTTTGGACAGGGGGCTTTAGGGACAGGACAAGGGGAATGGCTTTAACCTGACAGAGGGGAGGTTAAATGTTAGGAAAGAATTCCTCACCTTGAGGGTGCTGAGGCGCTGGCACAGGGTGCCCAGAGAAGCTGTGGCTGCCCCATCCCCAGCAGTGTTCAAGGCCAGGTTGGACGGGGCTTGGAGCAACCTCCTCTAGTGGAAGGTGTCCCTGCCCATGGCAGGGGGTTGGAACTGGATGAGCTTTAAGGTCGCTTCCAACCCAAACCATCCTATGATTATTGTCATTCATCATAAAAGATCAGCAAGTTCTGGATGCAGAATTTCAGCAGTGCCTTTGGCATCTTCAACTAAAAACTCTTGGAGAACCGTCACAGGTATCAAAAGGCAGCGAGCAAGTCAGTCATGAACAAAGCCTTTCAGAATGGTTAGTTTCTTGTCCCTGAAATTCAGAATTCAGTGCCATATCCAGGAAATCTGTGCCAGAGCGGAACTTTGTCCGTGGAAAAGGCCAGCTGTACTCCCCAAAAGCAGAGCTGAGTTTTGTGCCTGGTAAAGTACCCGGCACATTGCTGCAAGTGTAATACCGCACATGTGTAGCTGCTGGAGCCCCAGTTCATACCTTCTTAAAGGCATGTATTGTTCCTAAAGCTACTCTCCCAGCTGAGGCTGCCACCTCCCAGCTTAGCCCAGCACCACCAGAGCTTGGCAAACGGGATGGTTGGAGGGAGAGGGAGGAGACAATCAAGACCTCCCTGTGACTGTGCTGTCTCCCCATGGGGTGTTTATAAGCCGTGTGCTGGCGGGCAGGCGTGGGCAGTTGGCTCACCGTGACCTTGGGAGCTGGGAAGCCTGAGTAGCATTCCTGGGAGCCACGTGAGCCAGACTGGCAGGCGCAGCTGCGGCCAATGGGGAGCAGACCAGCACTGGCTGCTCGGGTTGAGTTTCATTCCTCTTGCTTGGGATTTTTCTCTTTCCCTCCCTGTTGTGCTTTTTCCTCTTTGTTTATGGGAATGGACAGGCAGATGCACTGATGGAGTCCTAGCAAGCAAGGCATTTGCCCACTGGATTTGGGATTCTACAGTGCTGAGCAACCACTTCTTGCCATTGCCTACCACAACTCCAGCCCCCTGCCATGGGTGGGCTTTTATGGCTCCAAACCTTCTGAGCACACAACCCGCCCTCCTCTTATCAGGGCATTTTATGTTGTGTTCTCTTCTATGCACTTGCTTTTTGTTGTCCTTATAGGTTAGTGTATGAGGCTTTTTAATGCATGGGAGATGGGTCAGGACCAGACAAAGCAACAGATAGAGAAAGGACTCCATCTTTACCAGTCTAATCAGACCGAAAAAGCCCTGCGAGTGTGGACGAGGGTGTTGGAGAAGTCTGCGGATCCTGCTGGCAGGTTTCGGGTTTTGGGTTGCCTCATCACTGCTCACGCAGAGATGGGCAGATACAAAGACATGCTGAAGGTAAGGAACTGGAGATGAATGCATGCCATGATGTGGTACCCACTGCGGAGAATGGCTGGAGATCAGAATGTGAAATCGGGGGGGGTATTTTGTATATAGTAGAACATACCAGCTATTGAGTGTAAACTGTGGGCTGCTGTAATCACTGTGTTTATCAATAGCTCCAGCCCACAATGTACACAGAATACTACTTTTCATTGGGTCTGGTCCCTCAGGATTCCCAGGTTATTGTGGTTCTCCAGTTAATCACAGGGACCTTTCTTAACCTGTTCCCCACATGCAGGCACACCATACAACCAAGCTTCAGGAAAAGAGATGGAAACAGGGCCTTTACTGCACTTGAAGCTGTTTACACTGTATGTCTGTAAAAAGATCTCCATGTGGATTCTGTAGAATAAGCAGCTGTCTACATTGTAAAGACATATCTGTTATCTTGTTCAGATGATGTTTGACATCTAATATAGATGTTACATTGGTTTTATTACAGTTCTTTGTTTGCAAGGGGGCTGATTAAATGGGGAAGGAGGATGCTTTTTTGGCAGGGGGACGGCAACATTCCAGGAGAGAATGTTGAGGTCAGAGAGGAGCTCCCAGTTGTCAAGACAGCATAGAAGAAAGGATATACAGGGCTTGATGGAAGAGTGGTGGAAAGAAGCTGAAGTCGCATTTCAAGAGTATGAGGATAAATGTGTTTGATTAAATGAGCCAAAAAGCCAACGTGTGGATGCAAGAAGTAACAGAATGCACGTAGAGAGCAGCAGGCAATGTTTGGGAGGGTGACTCGGGAATCTAGGAAACGAGGCAAGAGGATGTTGTAATAGTCTTAAGAAACCATCACAGCCTGAAATAGGGTCTTGCTAAAGGGTTTTGATATTCTTCTCCTGGAGTTTTGGTTTGCTTCTTACTAGGTTAGTAATTATTCAGCATTTAGCACAAAATGTGAACAGGAGCCCACATCTCATTGAAAGGATTTTGGTAGCTCTGTTTAGAGAGGGGGAGAGCACATCTTACTAGTAAACCCATGCCCTGTCTTAAAACCAAATACTTAGGGTGAAGAAGAAAAGAGGGTTATTAATACACTTGGAAAACATCTGAAGAGAAACAATTCTGATAATGATGTGGAATTACGTGGTGGCAGAAACAAGAGACTGATTAGGGAGAAGTAAAAGGTTAAGATGTGGCTACCTGAAGGAAATAGTTGAAGACTTCTTAGGAAAGCAAGAAACAAGCAGAGGAGTGGGGTCAGTATAGAATCATAGAATATGCCTGAACCCTAATTTGTTATCAGAGAACAGAAACTGGGATCAGAATAGGTGAATTTTAGTTCTTCCCAGTATTAGGAAGAAAAAGTGGCTTCAGTCAAACTGAAGATTTTATACCATGAGTAATCAAAAATAGAGGAAGGAAAACTTTAGCAAAGGAAAGAACAGGAGAAAAGGAGGCGGAATTAAAAGCATGAAATGAACTATGATTTCAGAAGGGTTATGATGGAGAGAAAAATTACTTCACACCAAGGAAAGAGGCTGTGGCAATCGGGAAATAACGAACTTGTACAAAGGTAAGGGAACGCAGGGAGCCATGAACTAATGCACAGTACTGGGTCCATACATCAGCTTTCCTACAGTGTGAAGGAAACTGAGAACATACATCCCCAAATACATGCAATTGTGGTTGGGTTGTTTTTTTTTTGTTCATTTTGTGAAGAATGTAAAATGTTCTAGTAGCTTCAATTATTATGTGTTGGCGCTATAGAAGAAAAGGAAGTAATTGGTGCCCTTGGGAATTGTTATCCATAAACCTAACTGATAATCTGTAACAAAAATACATACAGAGAAAATTGCTATATATTTACCTTTGCTACTGGTATTAATTCAAGCCAGCAGTGTGCTTGGTTCACCACAGAACACTAAAGAGTTGCTGCTCAGAAGAGTGTGCAGTCTAAAAGAAAGAGACTTCAAGTCATTTAAGAGAACTGTATGCAACAAATCCTGAAGGTAACAGAACAAAACCTGTGAAAACTGAAATTTGTTAGTGGAAAAACTGATGAAAGTAGCAGCTTGTTTACTCTTATTAAAGGGTACTTTAATATCTTAAGAGTTCAGAGAAAGTGGAATAGATTAAAGTGAGTGAAAGAAAACTGAGCAGTGGTGTGTCAGATGTGTCCTGCTTCTCATTAGGGATATCTAACAGCTTTCTTCTACTAACCACCAGCCGAGTTAATGTGTGGAGAGAGGGAGAGGTTTCTTCAGGCTGCTCACAGACCTTTTAAACCATCAGATAACTGCTCAGTGTAGACAATGCTTCTCAGTGTGTGCTGCTGGACTTTGCCCTGCTCAGAGATGAGCCATTTCTCCAGTACGCGGTGCTATTCTGTGGGTGTTTGAGCTGCATTTAAATCGACTATATGCTTTTATAAACACTGTCTACACTGTCTTTTCTACTTCAAGTTTGCAGTGGTACAGATTGACACAGCACGGGAGCTGGAAGACCCAGATTTCCTTACAGAGAGCTACCTGAACCTGGCTCGCAGCAACGAGAAACTCTGTGAATTCCAGAAAACAATCTCTTACTGTAAGACCTGCCTGAACATGCAGGGTACCACAGTGAGCCTGCAGCTGAATGGCCAGGTGAGCCTCAGCATGGGCAATGCCTTCTTGGGCCTCAGCACCTTCCAGAAGGCTCTGGAGTGCTTTGAGAAGGCTTTACGCTACGCACACAACAACGACGACAAGATGCTGGAATGTCGAGTCTGCTGCAGCCTTGGGAACTTCTATGCCCAGCTAAAGGTGAGGTCACTAAGGGACAGAAGGGAGATTGTGCCATGGATTCAGGAAAGAACTGGATTTCAGGTTATTGCTTTGCTGTAGGAAGTGAAGTACTGAGAGAGCATTGTAAGCTACTATCTCTTTGCAAAATCACCACCCTTCAGAGTAAGGATGGCAGGATTAGTGCAGTGTTTATATAGCACAGCAGAAGCAGCTGTGACTATTCCTGTGTTGAAAAGATCAAACTTAGCTACAAAGAAGATCACATCAGCGGACGTACTGTCTGTACACAGGGCTGGCAGCCAGAACGCACAGATTCTCTACTTCCACCACTACTACAGGCAAATAGCTATTGATGTGAGCAAAACAAGGCAAGAGCTGAGGATGGGGGTGATTTGCCAATTCTGACTTCTACTGCAAACAGCAACAAATACGTTTTCCTCACAAAGTCTTGATTTTTGTCACTAGTGGAAAACTCACCAACTGAAGCATTGAGAACTATCTGTAAACCTCGCTCATAATACCAAAAATAAAGACAATAACATTGTGCTGGATACTTTGAAGGTATGAAATAAGAAGGGAGAAAGGAAACTTTTAAAGTTGAGGTTTCCTATGTGCATCTTAGAGAATTAAAAGACATGAGGACTTCTTCAGCTCTGCAGTCTCATGTAACTTACCCGAGAATGGGTTTAGAAAGATAATAGTTTTACATAATTATTGTAAAGTAAGATTTCTTTTAAAAATGCTTTTAATCCAGAAAGATGCCTAAAAATGAAAATATGTTACGTTATTACTTCTTCTGGATTTGGTGAGGCCATGATTCTTTGTTCCTCTTTCCTGCAATATGATGGATAACCAGATTCTGACTTTCCATATGGAGAACATAAGGGCTCCATGTAGATGTTGAAAGCAGGGATGATGTCAGAGAAGAGAAGGTTTTCGGCCTTTGGTTATAGAGGAGGGTAAATGGTTCCTGCAGAGTAAGGCTCACAACATACCTTAGAACATTCATTTGCTCTTTCATTGCCCAGTGTCCTGAACCCAGAGGGTAATAATAACTCCGTATATGGCAATTCCACCTTCCACAGTTTGATATCCACTGAAAACATCTAGGGAAATGCAGCATGTGGAAGGTGAGCAGCAGCAGTTGAAAGGTGTACAGAAATATTAGTAAATAAAATATTGCTTTTTTAATCTTTATTTTTGCTGTAACTAGTGGATGTGTCTGTCTTACAGGACTATGAGAAAGCCTTGTTCTTCCCATGTAAAGCAGCTGAGCTGGTGAATGATTACGGCAAGGGCTGGAGCTTGAAGTACCGTGCAATGAGCCAGTATCACATGGCAGTGGCCTATCGGAAACTGGGGCGCTTGGCAGATGCTATGGACTGCTGTGAGGTACAGGGTGCAGGCAGATGCAGAGCTGTCACAGGTTTTCTGCAAGGGGATCTTGCCTACAGGACTGGGAGGAAGAGATATCCATGGCATTTGCACTTGGCTCTACATGTTCCTGCTGCGTCCCAGCCTTAGAACTGCAGTTTCAATAGCCCACGGGGGCTCAGAAGTTTGGGTCTATGAATTCCCCTTGGTTAGGAACATGTGAACAAGACTCTGTGGCTGCAGTGCACAGCCCCAGCCCTGCTGTTTTGAACCAGGAATAAGCTCTTTTACTGACCAAAGACAATTTCTTTCAGGAGTCCATGAAGATTGCCCTGCAGCATGGTGACCGGCCTCTGCAAGCGCTGTGTCTGCTGTGCTTTGCGGATATCCATCGCAGTCGCAAAGACATACAGGTACAGCTCCTTCCTGCCAGGAAGGACAGAGAGGATAGCAAGAGGGTGTGCAAAGCAGGCCATAGCAAAAAATGTTTTCCTCCCTGCTTCTACAGACAGCCTTTCCTCGGTATGATTCCTCCTTGAGCATCATGACAGAGATTGGGAACCGCCTGGGCCTGATCCAGGTGCTGCTTGGAGTGATCAAGTGCTGGATGATCCAGAAGGAGCTGGACAAGGTCAGTTACAAACTTGTTTATTAAACAAGATTGGAGCAAAATGGCTTTTTCTGCACTGTGTGCCTATCAACGTGCAGTAGACACCTGTACCTCTTGGTTCTATCAACAGGGTCTATTGCTTGTACAGTTACACTTCTCCAAATGGTCTCTTTCAGCCAGGAATTTGTTACTAACAGTATGAACATCCATTCTGAGTCAGACTGCTAACACACCAGTGTCTCATCAGTCAATCCTCATGACTTTAAGCACTACACTGAGAAACCAGCACTAAGGGAAGGAAGCCTACTCCTACACTGTAGCCAATCAGCTTCTGCTTATGCTCTGAAATAGATTCCACTGCCTACTTAACAGTTATAAGTTAAGCTCGTTGTAATAGTGATGATGTTTAAACAGCTCTACAGCTCCACCATGTGCTTTGCAGACAAACGTGGCATCAAATTCCTAGAGAAACTTGTCTGCCTGGACAAGTTCCTGTGTGATGTACTCTAGGTTACCCTGCTCTTGCAGGAGGGTTGGACTAGATGATCTTTTGAGGTCCCTTCCAACCCTTAGGATTCTGTGAAACAGAGAAATGAGGGCAGAAAAATCATCTGGGAATAAACAACTGGTCAATATAATGCAAGGGGGTGATTTTACTTACTTTGAAAATGCTTAGGCAGCATATATAAGTTAAAATCCAGATTGCACTAGATACAGCAGATTGCATTGCAGGAACACTGCTGGGCTGCAGAATGAGATGCTCAAAAGGCTAGCCTTGAACTAATGCTGAAGAACCTGGAATGCCTTTGCAGTGCCACATCAGGATGCTGCTTTGGGTGTAGATATGGTGAAGATTCACACTTATCACTCATATGAGACACAAAGAATTTTGGCTTAAACAGAGAATCTCAGATATTAGGAAATGAAGTATGTGTCTGTTAGAAAAGACAAGCTCAAAGTGCTGTCGGCATCTGTTTTGCCTACAGCAGGGAATCAGTTGGGTGAGGTACACCTTGCAGTCTCAGCAAGTAAACACTGTTTGCAATGGAAGAAGAAACTGGATTTAAAAACTCAGCTCAGTGTAATAATCCCTTCCCAGCCTCATCTCATGTTCAAAAGATGGGACAGAACACAGCAGGTAGACCTCCATGTAGAGAACATTCAGAGCACTCATCAAACCCCTACATCTGCTGATCGCACACCCAGCCATTGCCACCCTCTGGTACCACAAGCAGTTCTCACTTGTGAGAGCCTGGTGAAGGCACTGCACAAGTCTTCACCTTACCAAACCCAAGAAAATAAATAGATGAATCTTATATTCTGCTCCAGGCATAAGTGGGGAATCTGCCCTCATGGGTCAGGGACCTTATTCCCATTTTCCAAATGTGACCTCCTCAGATGTCACAGCTCTGAATACTCACCCAAGCCCGTTCCTCAACTTGCCAATCCCGGTTTCCATTTCTCATGCTCCTCATTTACCTAATAAAGCAGTTTGCTAACTCTCCGCTTACAGATTCCCTATTCTTGTCCTAGCTTCCTCCATCTTCCCAGTCTCCTCAGCCAGTTAATCCATTTCCTTTCATTTGCATGTGGTTCCTGCTCACAGCAGGGGGGTTGGAACTGGATGATCTTAAGATCCTTTCCAACCCTAACTATTCTATGATCCTATGGTCAGTACTATTGCAGATCCTCTCAGGCTGCTCGCCCAAACTCTCGTACAGTCTCACATTCCTCTCCAAGCCAACTGTCCCCTGAGCTTCTCAGCATCTCTCCCCCCACCCCACATGCTTCACTTTGCTTCTTAGTCCCAGTCATTTTCAGGGTTTTCTACACAGACACTCTTCCCTAGGCACAGCTTGCAGTTATGTTCTAACTGGTAGCCTTCAGTTCCTGCTTCCTTCTTCTGCACATTCCTTATCCTAGGCTGTTGCTGCCACCACAGGTCTAATGCCATCTCCTCTGTATTCAAAGTCCTTTCATCTCATCGGGTCCCCATCTCCTAGAATAGTTAATGCCAAAATATAGGGTAGAAGTTTTATAAACTACTGCATCACAAGGGAGACCTCTTCTTCCCCTTGGACAAACCTGAAGCAGATCTGAACAGTTCTGGAAAAAGAGACCGATGCTGAGAACAGTGAGGAACACTATGGCATCTAGCAGAAAGTAGGGACTCATTTTGGATAACAGCTGCTCTGCTAAATAACCTTCCTTCAGACTGAAAAAGATGGATAGCAGTACACTCCTGTATTACACCATGTGCAAGTAGGACAAAGTGGATATGTAACAGCAGGGGGAAAATGGAAGAGCTTGGTGTGTTGGTGGTGCTGATCCCCTTCCTCCACTCTTGTACAAGAGTAATTGGAGTTGCCCAATAACTATTGAACCTGTAGGGCTGGAGGGGGAAAAGGCTTGGTTTGCTTGTGCTTCATCCCAACACCTATGGCCATGTGTGACTGAGTTTAAGTCTGTATTCCTCCTGCTTGGAAATGCCAGCCTCTGCCGACATCATCCCCCCACTTTGCACCCTGTGGCTGGAGCAGAAACACAGCTCTTGGGATTATTTGTGGTCTTTCAGAAACCAGGCTTTTCTTATGGATGAACTCTTAGGAGAGAGGGGAAGTCTGCCAGACAGTTGTCTTGCATCTCCAGAGTTTAGTGGTGCTTGTTTATGTCCAAATTCTACTCTCTACCTGTTTATCTCTCTTTTAATAATTCCCATAGGACATTCACACAAGTCTGGTCTTAATATATCAGACTGAGAACTGATGATGCGTGCTCTCCATTTACAGGCTCTGGAAAGCATTGAAAAAGCACAGGAGCTGGCAGACGGACTAGGGAACAAGGTAGGATCCTACAGCTTCTCTTCAGCACTTTCTGTAGGTTTCAACACAAAGCCAAGTGTTGAAATATCCAGACTTGTTCTTGCTGATTATTGTGTCTGTGCTAACAAGTTGACGCTTGGAACTTGATTTGTTGTGTTTAACTATGGGCAGTTGCCCAGATGATCATCAGTGTGCAGGTCTGAAAAACGAGGGAGGAGTCACAGTGGGATGAGCAAAGGGGAACAGGAAGCAGTAAAAATGGGATATTAAACAAACAGAGAGCTACAGTATTGGGGTTCTGTTCTTTAAAAAGATTATTGTCCTGAGCAGCAGCTGAACTGTGTGTTGGCTGGAGGCAAAGTGCAGTGGATGTCATGGATCGCTGAGGAAAACCATGAGGGAAAGAGCTGCAGATGTCCTCAAACCTGGTGTCCCCTCTGGTGATACAGAGAAGCAGGGTTAATGGCAGGAAGTGCTGAGAGACCAAATGTCCTTATGCATGGTCCTATCCCTCAGACAAGTTTCTGTGCTGGTGTTTCTCTAGCTGGCTGATGGGGCCGAAGTAGTTCCCACTCCTGTTCCTGGTCTGTCTTCACCTTGTTCACTTCTCGTTTCCACCCTTTGTGTGCAGCTTGGCCTGCTGAAGCTCCACTGCCTGTGTGAAAGGATCTATCGCACAAAGGGGCAGCAGCAAGAATTGCGTGACCACGTAGTGAAGTTCCATGAATGCGTGGAGGAGATGGAGCTGTACTGTGGCATGTGTGGAGAGTCCATTGGGGAGAAGAACAACCAGCTCCAGGCGCTGCCTTGCTCCCACTTCTTCCACTTAAAGTAATGAGCTGGAAGTACTATGACATTAGTTGTAAGAAAGAGCTGTTGATGACCAGAGTAGGACAGCCCTATGCAGGCTGTTCCCTAGGTCTTTGTCCTGCTTTGCCCTACAGGATCCCATTGCAGTGCTGTGAATCTCATGGCTTTGAAGGGTGAGATTCCATAGAATCATAGGTTTGGGTTGGAAAGGACCTTAATGATCATCTTGTTCCAACCCTCTCCCATGGGGGATGGATTTAGCCATACTGCCCATCTCACTCCTGTCCCCTAAATGGTAGCTCAGCAGTGTCCTCACCTTGCAGGTGCCCAGCCCAATTCAGACTCTTAGTGAATTACTCCACACCCAGGGTAGTTTGGATTTGTTCCCCTGAATTCCCCCCCCCCCCCCCCCCCCCGCCTTTTCTCTCTCATGTACAGACACAGAGGTGAAGGTGTCCAGTCTATTACTGCGTTACTGCCATGAAAGTTTACCACTATTTTACTTTTAGGGGGAACGTGAGTGTAACAGAACACTTGGTGCTGAAAATTAACAATGTAAAGACACACAATTTAAGAATTTAAAGCCCCCCAGTGACACCAGCGTTAGGATCAAACTACTGAGCGCTGAGAGATGCTCAGTGAGCCCTCTGGGTTTGTCTCCAGCACTACAGCAGCTTGTGAAAGGGGCGTGCTGAGGGCCCTCCGCGGCATGGCTGGAAGGGGGATCATAGCGGGAGGGCGCATTTTCCATGCGAGGGGGTTAATACAGGAAACGGGAGCAGAGCCTCCCCCCCCCCAACCAACCTCCTCCCTTTGCAGGTGCCTCCAGACCAACGGGACCCGGGGCTGCCCCAACTGCCGCCGCTTGTCGGTGAAGCCCGGCTACGTCTGACCTTGCCGCGGGGGGGGCTCGGGCTGCGCCTCTGGGACTGCGGCAGCCCCGCTGTGCTCGGGCCCCTTCGGGCTGCGCCGGCCCCGCCTCAGCGGCCGCCGTGCTCGGGTGAGCAGCCGGATCCCCTCGGCCCGGCCCGGCTGCGCTCTCTGTACGGGCACTGACCGCAATAAAGCGCACGGCCCGGCCTGTCCCGGGGCAGCACCACCTCCCTCCGCTCCGCTCCGCCTCACGGGGCAGCACCGCCCTGGGCCGGGCCCCGCCATTACCCCGCCCCAAGATGGCGGCGGGGCCATCACTCAGCAGATTTACCGGGGCACGTGATCCTCGTGGTGATTTCCCCTCACCATCCGCGCTCGCAGATTCGCCACAGCCGTCGGGCCGCTCTGCGGAGGAGGGGGGGTAGCGGAGGGGCTGCGGCCGCGGTGCGGTGCCGAGGAGGAGGAAAAGGAAGGGACGCGGGGCCGCCGAGCTGCTGGTTCCGCCGCCTCCCGCCTTGTTGCCGGGGTGAGGAGCGCGGAATCTGCCGCCCGGAAGTCGCCTTGTTGTGCGGTCGCTCGCTCGCTGCAAGATGGCGTCGGTGTGGGATGAGTCCGAGGTGAGGGGCTGGGACCGCGGGCTGGGGCTGCCGCCGGGCTTGGGGCTACGATGGTGGGGCGGGGAGCGGCGGGGCTGGGGCTGGGGCCGGGGCCGGGGCCGGGGCCGGGGCCGGGCTGAGCCGAGGGTGACGCTGCCGCTGTGCCCCGCAGGACGGCGTCGGCGAGGAGGTGCTCAAGATGTCCACGGAGGAGATCGTGCAGCGCACGCGCCTCCTCGACAGCGAGATCAAGGTAGCGGCCAGGGGCCGGCAGCCGCGGGGGGAGCAGGGCAGGGGAGGGGACCTGAGCCGGGCCGGGCCTCGGGAGCCCTGCGCTGCTGCTGCTGCATTGAGGGGAGGGCGCGGGGAAGCTGAGCAGTGGGGCAGGGACCAGGGCAATAGAAAATAACATGCGGTTATCTCGATCGTGAGCGGTAGGCTGGGGAATGGTGAGCCCCGAAGGCAGGGTCGGAGTACTGAAAGAGCAGGGAGTTGACGGGTCGGATGTTCTGCAGAGCTTTGGAGGCACTTGCTGAAGGCCTCCCAACTCTTGCAGGCCCAGGGGAGGGGGGGTCTGTTCCGCGGCCTGGTTCAGGTGGGATCATCGAGTAACTCAGCTTAGAAGGGACTTGAGAAGATCTCTGGTCAAACGTCCTGCCCGGAGCAGGGCCAGCGGTAACCCAGGCTGCTCAGGGCTTCATCTGCTTGGATATTGAGGGCGTCTCAACAGAGACTGCACCACTGCTGTGGGTGTTCTGTGCCACAGCCTGACTGTCCTTGTAAGGGTGAAGATTTGCTTTACATACAGGCTGAACCTTTCTTGTTTTGGTCTTTGTTGTCTCATCTGCCCACCGTGCGCTGCTGTGAAGCGTCTGGTTCTGTCTTCTTTGTACCTTCTACAGCAGTTCCCTTCTCCAGCTGAAGAAGCCTCAGCTGCTTCTCACAGGTCCTGTGCTCCACTTGCCTTGGCCATCTCAGCGGCCCTGTGCTGCACTCAGTCCACTTTATCAATGTCTTTGCTGTAGGGGCAGGGGAACAACACTGAACAGTTGCTCCAGACGGGATCTAACACATGTTGAGTAAAGGGGGGTGATCACTTTTCTCCATCTACTGGCTACACTCCTGTTAGTACAGCCCAGGGTGCTGTTTGCCACCCTTGCTGTCAGGGCATGATGCTGCCTCCTGTTCAGTTTATTGCCCATGGAGACCCCCAGGTCCCCTTCCTCAGAGCCAGTCAGGAGCCTGTGTCACTGCAAGGTGCTCTTCCTTCCCATGTGCACTCCTCCTCTTCTCTAGGCCATTCATCAAGGTATTACATAGGACAGACCTGGGTAGACCTGGCCCAAGACAGACCTGTTTCACACAAGAGCTCTCCTAACTTTAGTATAAGCTTGTCTCTGCTGCCTGATTTTAGTAGTATTGAGATAAATTGTTTCATGAATTCTAGAGAGCAACTTGATCCTAGTGCTTCAGAGGCCACTAGCGATTCTGACATATTAACATACCTGGTTTTTAAAGGCAGCAACGTTAAATGAGTGTCTTATTTTGAAATTGCAGAACATAGTAAGGAGTAAAAGTTGTCTTTATTTTATAGTAAGAGCATCGTAATGGAGAAATGTTTATTGGCACCCTCCCTTCATGCAGTTTTCCTTGAATATTTCTCAGACTAATGCTAAATTATTCTAATAATTCCATTATTCTGAATGTTTTGCATTTGTATGTGACAGGTACAGTACTGACTCCTGTAACAGTCCTGTCCTGTGAGTAAGTACGTGTTACAGCACAGTATTAAGCTTAGGTACCAAGAGTTTTAAGAAGATAATTTTTTAGAGAGGAACGGATAGGACAAGGGGTAACGGGTTCAAACTTAAACAGGGGAAGTTTAGATTGGATATAAGGAAGAAGTTCTTTACTGTAAGGGTGGTGAGGCACTGGAATGGGTTGCCCAGGGAAGTTGTGAATGCTCCATCCCTGGCAGTGTACAAGGCCAGGTTGGACAGAGCCTTGGGTGACATGGTTTAGTGTGAGGTGTACCTGCCCATGGCAGGGGGGTTGGAACTGGATGATCTTAAGGTCCTTTCCAACCCGAACTATTCTATGATTCTGTGATTTCCCCATTAAACTGAATCACATAAACCAGTTCAGATGTGACCAGTTCTCCTGAGATCATATGGGACTACAGTTGCTTCACTGAGGATCACAAAACTGGTGCGTTTTCAAACTCTGAGTAACCAGGAAAGGGAGGAAAAGTATGTGGGTGTCAGCCAGACAGCACTGAGAAACACCTGTATTGTGTGCATTGGTCTTGGGTATAAATGTACTGACTGTTGGATGTACAGAGCTGCTTTTCTGACAGGTAATAGAATCATACAATCATAGAATACTTTGGGTTGGAAGTGACCTTTAAAGGTTAGCTAGCCCAACACCCTCGCAGTGAGCAGGGACATATTCAACCAGATCAGGCTGCTCAGAACCCTGTCCAGTCAGACCCTGAATGTACAGTTGTCTGTCTGGGCTGCAAGCACACACTGCCGGCTCATGTCCAGCTTTTCATTCACTCCAAGTCCTCAGCAGGGCTGCTCTCAATCCTTTCATCCCCCAGCTGCTATTGATATTGGGGTTGTCCTGACCCATGTGCAGGACTTTGCCCTTGTTGAACCTCATAACGTTCACATGGGCTCATTTCTCAAGCTTGTCCAGGTCCCTCTGGATGGCATCCTGTCCCTCAGCCACACCACTCAGCTTGGTGTCATCTGCAAACTTGTTGAGGGTGCTCTCGATCCCACTGTCTGTGTCATTGATGAAGATATTAAAATAGTATTGGTCCCAATTCTTCTCTAAAAAACATAACTTTAAAATAGGTGTGTGTATATGGACGCATATGGATATGCATGTGTATGTGTATATCTAGTCACCTGGTTATCTGTATGTCTGTATATATTAAAAAATGCAAACCAAAACACAGCTGCTTTATCTAGGTCATATTGCAACCCTGTAAGCTGCTGCATTGATCAGGGTAAGGCTATCCTGTGATGCTGGGAAGAAACTATTTCAGGATATTGATTAGTAGGAGACCAGAATGGATTGCGTAGCCTTGATTCCTAACCAGTGCTGGCTAATTTGCTGCGTTTCCTCTTTTTATATTAGGTTTCCCTTTATAATCACTATTTCCTCAGATTTAGGTTTTCATAGCTTTTACTTTTGGAATAATGTATGAATTTTATCTTGCCTTGGCCTTCTACTCTGATCCCTACCTCTTTCATCTGTGACTGATTCCAGATTATGAAGAGTGAAGTATTGAGAGTGACTCATGAGCTTCAAGCCATGAAAGACAAGATTAAAGAGAACAGTGAGAAGATCAAAGTGAACAAAACCCTGCCATACCTTGTCTCCAACGTTATCGAGGTGAGAGCAAGGCACTCTTCTGCAGCAGTGTGACAAGTGTGTGCAGTATGGACAGGAGGAGGGCATGGAACTCGTCAGTAATTTCAGACATGGTATGTTCTTAACTGTCATTCTGATTTGCAGCTGCTGGATGTTGACCCCAATGACCAGGAGGAGGATGGAGCAAATATTGACCTGGATTCCCAGCGAAAGGGCAAGTGTGCTGTGATCAAGACATCTACACGTCAGGTAAGATCCACGTGCCCAGCTAGGTGTGGTGAATGCTGAAAAGGACCACCTTCTGCTGGCTTTGCTTACTTTGATCTTTTTCCGCAGACATATTTCCTGCCTGTTATTGGGTTGGTTGATGCTGAGAAGTTGAAGCCTGGAGACTTAGTGGTGAGTGAGGCTGTTGTGACTGTTAGATACGATGCTTACTAGAAAAACTGCCTAGATCTTGCCCTTCAGAAAGGAGACAAATCTGCCCTCTAAGACCATTTCTATACTAAAATCTTAATAAAAAGATATTATGGTGTCGTGGTTTAAGTGCAGTCAGTAATTCAGAAAAACCACGTAGCAGTTCGCTTACTCCCCCTTTTCCTCCCTCGGCTCCCGGAGGGATGGGGAGGAGAATCAAAAGAATGTAACTCCCACAGGTTGAGATAAGAACAGTCCAGTAGCTAAGGTATAACACAAACCACTGCTGCTGCCACCAATAATAATAATGACAAGGGAAATAACAAGGGGAGAGAATACAACCGCTCACCACCTGCTGACCGATACCCAGCCTGACCAAGCAGTGATCTAACCCTTCTGGGTAACCTCCCCATGTTTATATACTGGGCATGACATGCTGTGGTATGGAATACCTCTTTAGTTAGTTTGGGACAGGTTTCCTGTCTCTGCTTCCTCCCGGCTTCCCCTCTTCCCTGGCAGAGCATGAAGCTCAGAAAGTCCTTGTTCAGACTAAACATTACTGAGCAGCCACTAAAAACATCGGTGTTATCAGCACTGTTCCCAGGCTGAAAGTCAAAACCACAACGCTGCACCAGCTACTAAGAAGGAGAAAAATGACTGCTACTGCTGAACCCAGGACATATGGGTTCAGTCATATCTGTAGTATAGAAAAGTAGTTTAAGGGCTGTGTTCTTTATACATACAAGTAGATGCTGAAAATTTGGGTACCATCTACTAAGCTTTTTAAACGCAGCCTTTGGTATTGTAAGTAGATTGAACTCCTCTTTTTTGGCATGTGCTGAGGAGCTGTGGTGTTGTCCGCTGTGCAGTGAGGGATTTTGTGAATACCAGTGTCACAGCTGATTATTCCTGCATCCTTGAGTTCTGGTGAATCATCTGTGATTGCATGTTTGTTAGTTGTTATCTGAAGTGCCTGTTAAAAGATTTGTGTTTACAGGGGGTGAATAAAGACTCGTACTTGATCTTGGAGACTTTACCTACTGAATATGATTCACGAGTGAAAGCCATGGAAGTGGATGAGAGACCCACAGAGCAGTACAGTGACATCGGGGGGCTGGATAAGCAAATCCAAGAGGTAATACTTCATATTTAGTTCCTGATGTGACTGAGAACACAGTATCACAGTATCACAGTATGCTAGAGATTGGAAGGGACCTCGAAAGATCATCTAGTCCAATCCCCCTGCCGGAGCAGGAACACCTAGATAATGTTACACAGGAATGTGTCCAGGCGGGTTTTGAATGTCTCCAGGGAAGGAGACTCCACAACCTCCCTGGGCAGCCTGTTCCAGGGTTCTGTCACCCTCACTGAGAAGTTTCTTCTCAAGTTTAAGTGGAACCTCTTTGTACCCATTACCCCTTGTCCTATCATTGTTTGCCACTGAGTAGAGCCTGGCTCCATCCTCGTGACACTCCCCCTTTATATATTTATATACACTTATAAGGTCACCCCTCAGTCTCCTCCAAACTATAGAGACCCAGCTCCCTCAGTCTTTCCTCATAAGGGAGGTGCTCCACTCCCTTAATCATCTTCGTTGCCCTGCGCTGGACTCTCTCCAGCAGCTCCCTGTCCTTCTTGAACTGAGGGGCCCAGAACTGGACACAATATTCCAGATGGGGTCTCACCAGGGCAGAGCAGAGGGGAAGGAGGACCTCTCTCGACCTACTAACCACCCCCCTTCTAATACACCCCAGAATGCCATTGGCCTTCTTGGCCACAAGGGCACAGTGTTGGCTCATGGTCATCCTGTCGTCCACTAGGACCCCCAGGTCCCTCTCCCCTACACTGCTCTCTAACAGGTTGTTTCCCAACCTATACTGGAACCTGGGGTTGCTCCTGCCCAGATGCAGGACTCTACACTTTCCCTTGTTATATTTCATCAAGTTATTCCCTGCCCAACTCTCCAGCCTGTCCAGGTCTCACTGGATGGCAGCACAGCCTTCTGGTGTGTCAGCCACTCCTCCCAGCTTAGTGTCATCAGCAAACTTGCTGATAGTACACTCAATTCCCTCATCTAAATCATTGATGAATATATTAAATAATACTGGTCCCAGTACTGACCCTCGAGGCACTCCACTAGTTACAGGCCTCCAACTAGACTCAGCCCCATAGACTACAACTCTCTGGCTTCTCTCCTTCAGCCAGTTCGCAGTCCACCTCACTACCTGATCATCCCGTCCACACTTCCTCAATTTAGCTGTGAGGATGCTGTGGGAGACTGTGTCAAATGCTTTGCTGAAGTCAAGGTAGACCACATCCACCGCTCTGCCATCATCCATCCACCGTGTTATTTCCTCATAAAAGGCTAAGAGATTGGTCAAACATGATTTCCCCCTGGTGAAGCCATGTTGACTGCCCCTCATAACCCTCTTATCCTTGATATGCCTTAAGATGGCACCAAAAGTGCCAGAACAACAGTCTTTGAACTACAGCTCAGAACTTCAGCTCAGAGCAGGCAGCCCGAATCTGTGAAGGAGAATGGCTTTATCTGTTAATATTTTCCTCTTGCTGTAGCTCGTGGAGGCCATTGTCCTGCCAATGAACCATAAGGAAAAGTTTGAGAACTTGGGTATTCAGCCACCCAAAGGAGTCCTGATGTATGGGCCTCCAGGAACAGGGAAGACACTGTTAGCTCGAGCGTGTGCTGCCCAGACCAAGGTAAAAGAAACCTTAGAAAGCATGTGCTGCTGTAGAGTAGTACCTGAAAAAGAGTAAGAACATCTCCAAGGGGAGAGGGATTGTACATATAAATCAGTGTTACAAGGCTGGGATCTTCTTGTCTGTTTTCTTGCTTGGGTCTTTTAATTAAGGGTTTTCTGTAGTACTCAGAACTGACCCTGTTGAGACACAAGGGATAGGATTCTTTTTCACTTCCCAGGCCACGTTCCTGAAGCTTGCGGGTCCACAACTTGTGCAGATGTTCATTGGTGACGGAGCTAAGCTGGTACGTGATGCTTTCGCTCTAGCCAAGGAGAAAGCTCCTTCCATCATCTTTATTGACGAACTGGATGCCATTGGCACTAAAAGGTGAGGTGTAGGCCATGTGTAAAGCTCCTGGGAGCTGCCCAGCAGCCCCCTTTACCTGTGTGTGTGAGGGAAGCCTAGCTTAAAGCATGGCCTATTCAGAAACAGTGTAAAGCCCACAGTCCTTGGGCTCATGAGTTAATTTCATGAGACTTGGGGTCTATCTGATAAGACTCCTGCTGTATAAACTGTTTTCTGATAACTGCATCAGTAACATAGAGATGATGTTCATCATCATTTACTGCTTGGGCCTGGACAACAGTAGCTCCATTTAGCTCTAAGAACATAATAAGACTTAGCTGCTGCTGACAGTTATTTGAGTCGCAGTCCCCATCAGGGTAGAACTTCCTGTAGTTTCAAGTTGGAATTCGTAAGATCTTGGCCAGTGAGCATGAACTGCATTCATTCTGTCTTCTTGTGTGATTAAAAGCATAGGGACAGGGTTCATGCTGATAGTTCTACAGTTCTACCCTTGTTTTCTCCTCAGGTTTGACAGTGAGAAGGCTGGTGATCGGGAGGTGCAGAGGACCATGCTGGAGCTGCTTAATCAACTTGATGGTTTCCAGCCCAACACACAAGTCAAGGTTGGGATCTAGCAGAGAGTGCTCCTGAGGCCCAGGGTGCTCTAGCTGGGGATGGAAAGCAGTGTCTAGGAGGAAGCTTGGTGGATCCTTGTGGAGGAGAGGCCTGTCCTCCAGATGTCTCAGACTGATGACCCTACTTCTACTTAGGTGATTGCTGCAACCAACCGGGTTGATATCTTGGACCCAGCTTTGCTCCGCTCTGGACGATTAGATCGCAAGATTGAGTTCCCGATGCCGAATGAGGAGGCCAGAGCCAGAATCATGCAGATCCATTCACGCAAAATGAATGTCAGGTAGGGCAGAGGCATGGCCTTCTGGGGCTGTGTTTATCACTCATGAGGGTGCCTCAGTGGTAGGCGCTTCTGTTGAGAGCTCACTGTTGGGTTTTAAGGCAGCTCCATACCTGTGTTTCTATTTGGTACCTATTCTCAGATTTACTGTTTTTTATCTCTGCCCATCTCAGCCCTGATGTGAACTACGAGGAACTGGCTCGCTGCACAGATGACTTCAATGGAGCCCAGTGTAAGGCTGTGTGTGTTGAAGCAGTAAGTATCCCTCCTCTAAAGCAGCAAGTACTGACAAGAAGGAAGGGTGAGAGCTAGTGTGGAGTAGTTATTCTGAACTGATGTGGTGCTTATGTGCCCTCTCTAATCATCTAGGGGATGATTGCCCTCCGCCGTGGAGCCACAGAGCTCACCCACGAGGACTACATGGAAGGAATCCTGGAAGTTCAAGCAAAGAAAAAAGCCAATCTGCAGTACTATGCCTGATCTCTGCCCAGTCAAGGTTGTGGCCTTGGCAGAGGACAGGACTAGACTGGACTGTACCACTTACTTTCTGTCTGGAAAAAATAAAGCATTTTTTCCCTCTAAAAACAAAGCCATGATGTGTTGGGGCTGTTGCCCTTGCGTGGTGGTCCTGCATCTGCAAAAGGGAAGGTGAGACCCTCCTGTCATGGTGCCCATCATGCTGCCTTTTGGAGCCTCTTCCTAGAACTGGATTAACTCCTAGTCTGCTGCTTCTGAATGAGGACCAACAGGTTATACTGCAGTAAGTAAGTGTATGTTGAAGTGGATGAACAGCAGCTCAGACGGCAGCCTTGGTTTTGCCTGTTGTGAGTGAACAGACTGTACAGCTTTGTTAGTCTTTGAAACTTCTGAACACCCATTTTGCAAGGGAGAAGTGACTATGATTCATGTTTTAACTTTGTCATTTCACCTCAACTCTGGAAGCTTTAACACCATCGCTGATGTGAGATCTCTGGTGAATCAGTTGGTAATTAGTCAGAAAGAACTGAAGGTTTCATCCACTGAACAAGTCTTTCAGTACTTTTAATACCAGTTGCGAATTACAACTTCCATTTAAAAATTACACTTTTCATAAATACACTGACTTTAGCATTAAGTATCTTACATGCCACTGTATTGTATTTTAAATACAATGTAAACATCTCCAAATGCTGGCCATCTCATCTTTACCTGTGCAGTTTTTGGACACTTGGGAGAGGGACGGGGATGTGAGGGAAGAAAGAATAGATGAATGAAAGACAAATGCACCCCAGAGTACTTTGGCTGATGTTCCTGAGTTAGCCCTAGTACTTGCACTGATTCTTCACTGCTCGTTTTGGAGAGGGAGCTTGTTCCTGCAGCATGTGCATGTTCTGGATGCGCTGTGCTCAGAGGGCATCTGACATTAGAAAGGGCAAGTGGTGAAGTAAGCAGAAGCCACACATTCCTGAGGAAAATACACTGTGGTTCCTTTGGATGTTAGTATGAGAGAGGGGGTTGTGTATATCTGCTGCTTTAGCAGTACTGCTGTTTGAGCTCAGGGGGAATTACTCATCTTTCACAGAACAGGAGTTGCACCCACAAATTAGTTGGGGCTGAAGTTTAATCCCAGCAGCTCAAACTATGACATACTTTCTGAAGTACACCCTCTCCTCTAGTGGAATAATTTAAGCTGCACGTTGCATACATCTCCCTGTTAAAATGAGGGTATGGTAGTTAGCCAAGTGAGTAACCTTACCTGTGTAAGAAGCTGAGGATAACTTTCCCCTCCTTTCCTAAAGCCAGTGGAGTTCTTTTGCTGCTCAGTTACAGCTGGCTCCTTTTGGAAACGGCCTTAGAAGTGAGTAAATAGCTGATACCACAGCATGGAATAGAACAGATTTCTGATATAAATTAATTAATACTAAGAATGGGCTAATTCTTTGGCCTAAACCTCGGCTTAGATCAAGGTTGTTTTGGAAAATGATGGCCTGAGCCAACACTAGACACGCCTGTTGCAAAAGTGTTCAAGCCAACTTCACATAGCTCCTTGCCCTAATTTGGGTCTGAATTACACAGACCTGCAGCAATAGAGTTGGTGCGTAAACATCCCTTACAACTGGACAATAACAGGACCATGGAGGTACAGTTCAAAAAAACGGCACAAAAAAAGACACAGCCTTGGACTTAATCCCTTGTAAACAGAAGAAAAATCAAAAGAACTGTCCCCCTTAAACCATCAATGAGCAAATCACCAATAATTCAAACCTGGAGTTACTTGCAATGTCTGTCTCCGCGCCTAGAGGCTGTAGCAGCATCCCACAGGCTGGTGTTTCCACAGCTATGGCACTGCTCTCCACACGCTGACATTCTACCTCTTCCTGGTGTTAACCCACAGCTCTGCCCAGGCTGCGCTTCCCAGAGTCTCTCCTCGCTCCTGCCGAGGTCACACAGCCCCATTTTCTTGTCTGGGTTTTTGTACGGACGCCCGCGAAGTGTTGAGGGATGGGGCCAATGTGCAGAGGAACCCAGCCAGCAGGGTGAGGCCCAGGCCCCCCCAGGCACAGAACATGGACCAGCCATAGCCATGACTGATGTCCTCTGGCAGCCCATAGACGTAACGAGGATAGCGAGATAACTCAAAATTGATCCCAGCTACGCATGTGCAGAGTGAGATGATACAGCATGTACCTGCAGGAGAAAAGCAAGAGGGTTCTACGCTGCCCTCAGACAGGTTAATAATACTGGTTTTTTTTCCCCCTAGGTGTTTTCAAAGTCATGAGTTTTCAAAATCAAGAATTACCCAGGTTTTTTTTTGGTAGTCCTACCAGTCACTCTTCTTACAAGGTGGGGTGGCGGTGCTGGATGCAAAATATGTAGGCCTGTACTTCACACATAACCAGTATTGCCTTAGCTCCCTCTGTTGCTTTTTCAAACTCAAGTCATGTGTTGTTCATCATGTTTTGAGTCTCCTGAGACTTTATGTCCAATGATTAATGTCATCAGGTTTCAGACAGGACTTGGGCAGTCTCTCCTATGGAAGATGAATAGCTGAAGCCCAGGGCTGCAAAGTGCAGCTGTGCTTGGTTTCTACTTGGAACATCCAGGCTTGCTCCAAAGACAGTGCACAGGCTTTTGTCACCTGCTACATATTCCTTAAGCATGCTGAGCATAAAGGAGCAAAAAAAGCTAAAGAAATATAACACAAGGCTCTCCAGTACCTCTAATATACACCAGGCTCAAGGCTGAGGTGATCATTTTATTCCCTCCAGCTCTGGATCTCTGTCTAAATATTAATAATAGCTCTTACTGCTGATAGCAGTACTTATGCGTATGGTGCCCATCACCGTAAGTGCAGAGCACTCGATGGGGCCCCAGTCTACTTGTTCCACTTATGCTACTTTCCTCTCTCACTGTTCTGCTATAGAGAAATGAAAATGTTCCCAAAGGAACCTGCAGTTCAGCAGCACATAAGATGAGCAAGGACAGCACAAGCCTAGCTTCCAGCCTTTCTAGCATCATGCTGTGTCAGCAGGGTGGTTTTCTGTGCAGCTCCCCAGCACCCTTGGCAAGCACTGAGCTCATGTCCTTAACCCTGGGTCAGTGCTCTCCAGGCTTGGCTGGGTTTGGACTTCACTGTTATTGCAAGCATCTCTGAGCAGCACAAAGGCACTCTACATTGATTGGTTTGTTTGTTTGTTTGTTAAGATTCCCGAAGGAAAACTGAGCTGTCTGACAGGAGCCGCAGGCTCCACACAGCACAGATCAAGCAAGAGGACTATGCTCATTGTGTCCCTGTGGCCACACATCACCTCTCCAGAGCAGAAGGCATGTATGCATACAGTGGGGGTTTACTCAGAGGCATGCAAATATCCTTGCAAGCACGGGTCCTGGCCAGTGGTAACTGCACTGTGCTGATGGGGTGCTGCACTATAGAACTGCTTCTTGTGTTTGCTGTGGGCTGACTTTACTTTTAAGAGCACCTCCCCAGCCAACGATACTGACTGTGGGGACTTCAGGAGTAGAAGCGAAAGGCTCTCACCTCCCATTAGGAAGAGCAGCCCAGCCACATACTGCATGAGCTCCTGCTGTTTGCAGCAGCCCAGCACACCAATGATCCACCCAAACAGGATGATGGACACTGCCATGCCAATGAAGCCCGCTGTCATCCTCCGCAGATCTGAGGAAAGAAAAGCAAGAAAGAAGACATGAAGATGGTAGCAGCCAGACAAGACAGCCAAGGGAGAGATTTAGGTTTGCTGCTTCTAACATTTTTACTTCACTTACGGACTTCTTCTCCTGTAGCTTCTTTGAGATAGATAGTGTGCCCATTACATTGAAACTCATGGAATCCACCCAACCTGACTCCCTTCTCCTGGGCACTTTACAGCTAGAGGGCATTCCTGTCCTGATCAAGAGGAATACTGGCTTACATACTCGCCGAGATGGGACAGAAGGGGAACATCATGCATTGGGCAACAATTTGTAACTGTTTGTTTGTTAGTACTGCGGGGGCTTTGGCTTTTCATGTGGTGTGTTACTTTGGGATGGAGTTTGTTGACTGAGTGTCAGCAGAAAATAGAAAAGAAGTGAGGGGATGCTGAAGAGAACTAAAGGAAAGTGCATGGAAGTCAGATACTTTGAACAGAAAAGAGGACTAGTGGGAGGACAGCAGCAGACAGGAGATCAATACAGTATGATGGGAACAACTCCAGTAACAAGCGCTAAAATAAACCTTGGGCACCACTGATACGAACAGCACTTTGTCATCCATACTAAAAGTGCTGTTCTTGTCTCCTAGTTCAGCCTCCAGCTGGATTTCCTCAGCACTGAGGCTCACATGGCAGGGTCTAGGCAGAATTATGGGAGGCAACAGACCAGAAAACAAACAGAGAGAGAAACAGGAGCAGAAAAAACTGATTAAATCATTCTCAGTGACAGGCTACAGGTCAGTCATCTGTGTGGGAAGGACTTGGGGATGAGGCAGTTTGTGGGCCAGGAGCTGGTAACAGGAGGTTGCAAAGACAAACTGAAATGTTGGCTGCAAGAGCTTGTTGCCAGGGAACTGCACCAGGGCACTGGTGTGCACACAGAAAAACCCGATACATACAGACGGTTTGGTGATTACCTTTGCTGTAAGCTGGCTAGGAATTGCCTGTTCCCAGATGATTACATTGTGCAACACACTAAATACATGCCTGTATTCCTGAATTCACCACTTAAGCCCCTCCAGATCTCCTGCCCCAAATTACACTGTCAGCTGCTTGCCCTTCCTCACTAACAAATAGGTATTTATGCTTAGCGCCCAGTGATGGCTGAGTGAGAGCCCACACTTGGCACTGCATTACGGCATTAAGTAAGGCAAACACTCCTGTAGGTTACTTACGGAGTGCGTGCCACTCATCCTGCCGGATGGTGTTAGTGATGTTGATGGGTAAATTGCGAGGCAGAGAGCTGGAGGTGTAGTGGTACTTCACAGCAGTGCAGCGCTGAATAACTCCTGTAAGAGAGACATGGGTGTGAAACAGCATGAAACCGCCGTGCCTTGCACTTGCTGCCGCGCTGGCTGCCCAGCACCGCTCACACAGCCTTAGCTCAGTAGCAGAGCAAATG